AATTATTTTTTTATATAGGACAGGGGGCATACGAGCATGCGGCTCACCTGATGGTAAGTGACTACCACCGCCCATGAACAACTGCAACGCCAGGGCAATTGCAGATGCGTTGCCGGCCTTTTAAAAAGGACTAGGCTCTTTTCTTGAAGGTCCCTAAGTCGTATCGGTCCGGAAAAATCGCTGGTGGTAATCGATTCCACAAGGAAGTTGTGCGAGGGAGAAAGCTTCTTCTAAATCGTGCAGTGGTGGAAATTGAGCGGCTGGAATTAGTCCGAACAATTCCACAGAGCACTCTCCGTGATAGATGCGATAAAATACGCAAAAAGATGCAACGCCAGTAACGCAGTGCCAGTAAGTCAAGCCGATCAGAAGGAACTCGGTCGTCGACGGTTCGAACCGCTCTGCTCTGGATGCGGTCAAGTGGAAGGAGCTGGCACTGGGGCGCCCCTGCCCAGAGATGGGAACAAATTCCATGTGAGGCCGAACCTGCGCTTTGTAAAGTTGCTAGCGGTGTGCCGTGACATTGGGCCACCATGTTACAACGGATGGACAGCGCCAAATTAAATGATGTTTGATTATCTTTAATTTAAAACACGCGACATTAATAAGTTCTATCCAGGCTAAGTCATGGCTTACTTAATCTAAGACAACCTAACAGGTTACAATAGCTTAAATTATTTGTGAGAGCCTGGTGTCTGTACTAGAAAGCCCTGTATGGCAGATCAGCGCCTCATCTAACAATGCGACGCTTAAGGGCTTGCAATTTTTAATAGCAAACACCTAGTAATTCACCAACTTGCTTACGAGTGCATAGTATCGGCGGTGTTATTACGGCTCCGGATAATCTTAGCGCAGATCTTTGTACAATTAAAATGCCCGTGAATGACCACTATCGAGTCACGTGACTCGTACGGTCACGAAGCTTTGCGATTTTCAAAGTGCTGATCTTTAGCCGTTCACATTGTGAATAACGCACAGACTAGGTGCTCACGTTGGTGTGGAGCTGAGTAAGTTACATTTGATGCACAAGTGATGAACAAATTATTGTTACTATTGAGGATTTTAGCATTCTGCCGGCTTAATTTGAAAATTTATTTATTTGATTTTTAAGGGAAACTTACAGTAAAATAAATAATTACATTTTAAAACATATAAAAGTAATCCGAAAACCAATAAAGTTTCCACAGATATCTAATACATAGTAAGAGCTTGCGACCACAATATGTTGTATAAAAATTTTGAATATAAAAATATTAAAGATAAGAAAAAATAGCTGAATATTATTTATAATTAAATTAAATAATCAATTAAAATGACTTCGAAAACATATTTGTAGATTTATTGGAATTTATGAACATTATTTTTTTTATCTCTACTATTTTGTTACTTCCATACTAGGAATTTATCCTTTATCGCGTTTACATACTTACATAAACTGTGCCATGTAGTCGCGGCGTAAAATAATCTACTACGAGGGCGACACTGAAAGTTTTTAGAACTGGCCACTTGTAAGTGATATAATAAAAAAATAAGTAAAAATTTTGAAAATGGAACTCTTTGCCAACTTTTTTTGTATGTATTTTATTAACTTGTCATTTGTTTACGATATGGCGGCAAATTGCTTTGGCATCGGTATGAGTTAAGTGCACAAAGTCCTCCATGAACATTTAGCGGTCAGGAAGCTTTGTGCCCGGTGGATACCTCAGAATTTGACAGAGGCCCAAAAACTCCGTCGCGTTGATTGGTGTCGTGAAATGATTCAAAGATTTAACGGAGGTGACTCAAATGCTGTGTTCGACATACCTACTTACGGGTGACGAAAGCTGGATTTATTGTTATGATCCTGAAACTAAGAAAAAGTCTGCTATCTGGGTGTTTCCTTCTGAGGAGTTGCCAACTAAAGTGAAGAGAGGTTGAAGCGTGGTAAAAGATATAGTGTAGTCTTCGAAAGGACGGGTCTTTACGTAACAATTGTTTTAGAGGATCGAAAAACAATTACTGAAGAGTGGTACACTAATAATTGTTTGCCACTTGTCTTGGAAAAAGTTCCACCTTCACCACGACAACGCCTCGTCGCACTTCGCCAAGCAAACAATCAACTACTTGGCGACGTTAAACGAGGAATTACTGGGTCACCCGCCCTATAGCCCCGACCTCGCACCTTGGGATTTTTATTTATTTCCGAAAAATAAAAGAAAAACTTCGAGGAAAACGTTTTATGGATGCCGAGGAAGCAGTGGCTGCGTTTCAAAATGCCGTCGAAGAGACCCCTAAGGATGAGTGGGCAAAAAGTTTCTCAGTGGTTCCATCGGATGCAGTGATGTATTGATGTAAATGGACACTATTTTGAAAAGATATAATAAAACTAATACCTTGCTAGTGTGTTCAGTTTTTGACTTTCCAAGAAATTTCAGTGTCGCCCTAGTATAGTCATTCTATTTCACGATGAAGTTTTGATTTTGGTTGTTGTTAGCCGGTCGGGAGCGCTACTCCCGAGCGCCCGCAGCCTACGCACACTAACACAATATATATGTGCACGGCTAACTATCATCCCGTGGGAGTCGTAATAAGTGACAGAGGGAAATTAAGTAGGCAAGGATGATGATGACAGAGAAAGTATTTGATACTGCGAACATCACTACATTACTCTCAGAGACGATTATGGTAACATCATTAACATATAAAATAAGCTTCTCGAATAAAGTACTGTCCACCCGTAGCCTCTTATTCCGTTCTTCTTTTTCTTAGGGAATAACATAAATACTTATTATTTACATTTTAAAGTACTTGCTCCAGTCAAACAGCAGTCGCAAGTTGCAAGGTATTCTGTACAATTAGCAACGAATAGCGCAATAGAGCAATAAATCGTGCGATATCGTCCGGAATCGTGTCGCGAACGCTCCAGCTAGCGCAAGTTTGTGACTTGAATTAAGAATTTTTATTTGTGGCTATTCAACACAAAATATAGGAAGGTTAATATCAATATAATGTAATACAATGTATAATATAATATTAAATATTAAATAAAATGCGATGATTAAAAATACAGAAATAAATTAAATAAAAAATGTATTTTCATGTACGTAAAAACTGAAGTGACAAATAGTTACAGTTATAGTCACAGTCCACCTGATGTTAAGTGGTTACTTGTTTGTTTCGTGGTTGCTGTAGTTCATGGACGCTTGCAGTCTACTTCAAACAAAAGATGCTACAGATGCATTGTTATTTCTGAGGACTAAGATGGATTTTTTTTGCGTCCAGATGCAATGGAAAGGGCTACCCTCCGGAAAGCGAGGAAGGGAGGTGGTGAATGCTCTAAGCATACCACGACAGCCGGCTGTCCTGATTATGTGGGACTCACTGCGACTAACCTAACCTAAGTGCCTACCCACTAACACCACCTGTGAGACTGGCATTGGCTTATGTGGCCTTTAGGGAAAAGGGGGCGCAGAAGATGGAATGCCTCACAATCTGTATTTATACTGGCGCTCTATACGCTTCAGATTTGAACATAGCAATGCAAGCACTGAAATGAAGGCATCCACGACTTTTTCTTCCATTAGGGCGGCGCCCTGTGATTGACATGACATAATTTGACAGATTTCATAGCGGGGAAGTTAATTTGTTCGGAAAATGTAAAGGTTGTTGTTTCCTTCTGTACTATTAGCTATATTTTATATTATATATATAAATAAACCAATCCACAGATATTCATAAAAGTAGAAAAATTAAAAAAAAGTTAAAAGTGGCAAAAAATTAAAGACCAAACCACAGACAGATTGTTTTGTGTATTAATATAATACTCGAAACTGATAAACTTTTATTAAAAACCAACTTCTCAATTAAACTACACTATATAACAAAAAACTGTATCTCAATTTTCAGTATATAAAAAGTACTCTGTGATCTCAATGTCACCCTAGCGACATCTGGTGAACAGAAAATTATTAGCCCTCAATTGGCGACAGAAATAGGTAATAGCCCCCTATTCCCTATCAAGACGGATTCTTAGGCATAAAAGGAGTTGTACCACTTAAAACTAAAAGTAAATTTGTAGCCTATTTACGTCCCACTGCTGGGCACAGGCCTCCTCTCATTTCTGAGAGGGTTTTAGGGCAAGGAAATGTTCGCCGCGCTGCCCCAATCCGTGTTGGCTAACTTCACGTCTTCGAAAATATTTTTTTCTTATTTCTCAGACATGTAGGTTTCCTCACGATGTTTTCCTTCACCACCGAGCACGTGGTAAATCAGCACTTAAAATTGCAATTAACAATTTTATTGGTGCCGGCGGGGATCGAACCCGGGTTGCTCGAGTACTGTGAAGCTTACAGCGAGCGCTAACCATCTGAGCTACCACGGCTCTTTTTTTTGTACCACTTAGTAAAATATAAATTGATTTGTACAATTTTCCCGTTTCATAGTGTCATAGTGCAGTTGAATAATCTTATTAGGTGATAGAGCTACGCTTTAGTGTTTATTGCTGCAGCTACGTAAAATCGTCTGGGTTGAGGTTAACCTAGAACAAAATAATAGCGTGAAATAACAGCTAACTGCTAATGCTGTTGTGTTTTGATGGTGAATGCCGAGAATCGGAGTCTTTTTATTAGTGTGACACATTATATCTTAGTTCTAAAGGGAGGCAACGTCCCTTAACGTTGCTGCCCCTGAAATTACGTACCGTATTTTTATTTTTAAACTGAGGAATATGCCACAGCATTCACTCACCATCGGATGGTCTGTGATTATTTGTCGCCCGTAACTAATTCTATAGAGAAAAACTTCTAGAAAGTAGTGAAACTTAAGATACAACTCTGTGTAAAAAGTATCGGGAATATGTCAATAAAAAGACCCGCGTAAAAGAGGTCGTTCTAATTTTTTTACTGCATGTTGGTAGCACTGTACTGATTTAGCGCGCAAAGTTTGAGCGGGATCTGTCATTTAATTTGTTTTAAACTACACTTTTTGTTGGTCATAGTTTTGAGTTCTCGGCGATTTTTACAATGGAAAATATTGTTGAACAAAGAGTGTGCCTTAAATTTTGTGTTTCGAATGATATTTCATGTGGTGAATCACTAAAAATGTTGCGAAATACCTACGGCGAATGGTGTATATCGAAAACAAGGGCTTATGAATGGTATAAGGCTTTTAAAGAAGGCCGAGAAGTAGTAGTAGACTTGCCTCGTTCTGGTAGACCTTCAACCGCTACGACCAAAGAAAACATCGACAAAATCAAGAAGCTAGTGCTCGAAAATCGACGTATGAGTCTGAGAGAGTTGGCTAGTGAGGTGAATATATCTTTTAAGTCCGTCCACAACATTCTCATTCACATTTTAGGCATGAAACGCGTCGCCGCTCGACTAGTTCCAAAAGAGCTCAATTTTGTTCAAAGAGCGCAGCGAAAGCATGTCGCTGAAGACTTGGTTTCCCGAGCTTCTACGGATCCGACCTTTATGAAACGTATAATAACTGGCGACGAGACATGGGTTTATGAGTACGACATGCAAACAAGCCAACAGTCTTCAGAATGGCGTCTCGAAAACGAGCCGAAACCCAAAAAACCGCGGCAAAGTCGCTCCAAAATCAAGGTGATGCTGACAGTTTTTTTGACTACCGTGGTGTGGTTCATTCCGAATTCCTTCCAAAGGGAGAAACAGTGAATAAAGAATATTATTTAGGCGTCATCAAGCGTTTGCGTGAGAGTATCCGCCGAAAACGTCCAGATTTGTGGCAACACAACTCATGGATGCTGCACCATGATAATGCACCATCACACACAGCCATTATAGTGAAAGAGTTTTTAGCGAAAAATTCAACAAAAGTTCTCGACCAAGCACCGTATTCACCTGATATAGCTCCGTCTGACTTTTTTTATTTCCCAAGTTAAAATTACCACTTCGAGGAAAACGTTTTGAGTCGATAGAAGCCATAAAAAAAATTCGCTCAATGAGCTAAAGGCCATACCGCAAATAGCCTATGAAAAATGTATGGAAGACTGGGTGAAGCGTTGGAGATGTGGTATTGCAAGCGATGGGGCCTACTTTGAAGGCGATAAAATAAATTTAGATGAATAATTTGTATTTTTTGTTTTATTGACAAATTCCCGATATTTAGTACACAGAATGTAAATTAATGAAAATTCTTTGCAATAAATTGTATAAGAATTTCCATTATTAATAAATCAGCACCAGCCTTTTGATAGCTTGCTAACGCAGTTTCAATTGGTTGACGCCGTGGGTTCGATTGCCGCACGGCGTAGTATGTAGTACCTAAGTAATAACTATACTATTGGCCCGAGTGCCTTTCTATGAGTAATTTATGTATGTAATACACTTCCACTATTCAGTTACTTTTCCTGAGTCTAATGTGTTTCCCTACAGCGTAGAGTAACGTCTAAAAAGTTTTCAAGACCACGGTTGGACATAGTCCTTTTGCTAATGCTTCAGCTGTCTCGCAATTGCATTTTACCGCTCATTAATCTAGGCAGCCAAGATACAACTTATCTATTCACCGCGAAACCTTTGCTTAGCGATAGGGTGTATGCCTGAACGCCTGGCATCTGCAGGCTGCCTGATAACGCCCGACACTTACACGGTTTATAGGGCGGCGGCACGCAACGCAGCCTTCCTACCCATCGTATTGGTATCATTTTATCTACAACTTGCAAAAAGTATCGATTAGAGCACTGAAATAGATTTTAATCTATAGTTCGTTTAATGGAAAATATCACCAATGATATTATGTTAACTGTAAGTATAAAGCTGATATGGTTTATGGGAATGAGTTCACATTAAATTTTACAGCTAGAAATCTGAGTGTTCAGATGTGCTGCGTGCTTATACGTAGTAGAGCTACGATGTAGCTATGTATATTGGTGTAGCACGAATGAGTCGACGAGGGTAAGACCACGATCTCACAGAATACTTGTAAATTAGCAGCTTAAAGGGTGCTGTGTTTCGTATGGTGAGTGTAGAGAACCGGAGACCTTTCTTACCGGAAACGAGGTATTCCATTATAGTCCTCAGGAGTGACAATACATCTGCGTTTTAATTCTGAGGATAAATGTGGATGTGATAGGCTACATTATCCATCTAACATTAGGTGGACTGTGTGCTCGCTATATACCCTTGTATAAAAAAACACTACCAAATGTTTTATTTTAATATAAGTAGGTACAAATTTACCACGTGCTTGTCGGTGAAGAATAACATGGTGACAAGTGGAAAACACAAATTGTAGTTAAGAGAAATCATCATAAGGAAACCCTAATGGCCACAAAATATAAATATAATATATTTATATTAAATTATTTATAAAATATTAATTTATATAAGAGGACATGTTTTGATGTATACCAATATGCACTAGATTTTTAATTTTTTGTAGGTTTACTAACACGACTGAAACTGTACACATGCAGTTAAATAATTCAAGACTTAAATCTAAAAGTTACTAGAGACAAAGGTAATCATCACATGCACACATTAAAATAAAATAAAGAAAAAGTGCAACAGGACATAAACAGAATGGTTAAAATAGCTTAGGATAATGTCCTCCAGACTGAATTCCACGCTTGCCAGTTTCAACGGAGACTAGCCAACTGTGCAGGACAGGGTTATATCACACGAGTGTGTGCGCAAACACAGGTTCGCTCTCTATTCCCTTACTTTCATAATCTGGATAGGACGGCAATCCAATATGCACGGAGAGAGTTCACAGGCGCTGGACAGGGGGTGCAACATCGCCATATTCCTGACTGCGAGCTTCTACTGAAAATTTCTCGACATAAATACCCAATACCTAATTTGGCCCATCCCTGCGTTAGAAGCAAGGACTTTATGATAAGTAATCGCACTTATAACCCACAAAATGGACAAAAATACCTTAAACATACTTTAAAGAGAAATTATGTAAGTATTATTTTCTTTTAATTCTTCTTATTTTGTTAAAACGGTCAACATCCGTGCCTCATGCGATTATTTTTACACAATGATCGAAAAAGGATCTTGTTGATGTTAAATTAAGTGCGGTTCCCGCGCAATTGCGCAGATTATACTTGGATAAGTGTGTGGTAAAAGCGTAGTGAGTCGCGATTTGTCGCTGGCCGATGCTATCGCGACACGTAATTTGACCGCGACTGCCGTGCGTGTCGTGGTCGCCGTTGCTGCGGTTAGGCTGTGATATATCGAGCTGACATATAATATATAATTAATTGACATATACTATTCTTTTTTATATCTCTCTTAAAGTATCCTTAATTCCTTTATATAATTTCTTGCTGGTTCTTCGAACATCTAGTTTGAAGAGCCTGAGGTAGAGCTTGAAAAAAAATTGAACAATAAAAGAACCATAAACACAGATATTTTATATCATTTATATAAGTTTTTTTTCAACCAATTCGTAAAAACATAAGTTAAATTAAAATAATGTACTTTAAAAATAAAAAGTCCAGATCTTTAATAAAATAAATATATTAACACGTTTGACAATTTCTGTCAATTCAAATACAAGAAAGCCAACCTGCAGCAGTATAAAATATTAGGTCTTTACCTATGAAATTGTCGTTTTTTTATGAAATAAGTTAACTTATTTGTTTTTGTATATTTTTTATTTATTTTAATCAAAGTAATCGTACCCATGCAATCGATGCATCATTGCCAATGCAGTGGCAGTTTTATTGATGCCTTTCTTGCAGAAATCAACTGGACGGGAGGCAACAAATTCTTCAAAGGCATTTTGTACTGCCTCTCGGGTATTGAAATTTTTGCGCCAAAAAGTTATCCAAATTCTGGAAACAGTAGAAGTTTGTAGGCGCAAGGTCTGGTGAGTACAGTGGATGACGGAGAACTTTCAATCCCAGTTCTTGTAACTTGGAGACCGTCTGTTAAGCAGGAGCAGCGGGGACGAGCGATTGAAAGCTGGTTGGAGACGTGCGAGCTTCTCCATCATTGTGTTTAGTTCTTCACAGTATACATCTGCATGCTCATCCCCTTTGGTAAAAAGTTGTAATGAATCACAATGGCGCTAGACTACCAAACAGTGACCATCATCTTTTCTAGGGGTAAGTTTTCGTTTAGGGCATTTTTTAGGTGCTGAACCAGGATCCAACCAACTTGTCAATCAGAATCCATTTTTATGCGGTTCAAAATTCCTTCATTTGTGTGCCTGTTAGCAGTGTTAGGCACACCTCGACGCGTACTTCTCGCTGGCGATAATTGAGCTAATTTGACGCAAATGGACCAATATTGTTTTGATGCTAACGTCGAAAGCTGCTGCTAATTCAGTCATAGATATCATTGATCTACTTATTTTGACATCTTCGCGAAGATGTCAAAATAAGTAGATCTGTATATTTAACTCAATTTTGATTGTCACTCCCATGACTGACTTGACATTTGCAGAATTCTTTTAAGAGAAGTCAAAAAGGAATGAAGAAGAAGAAGAACTCATTTTTGAATGACTTGTGGGTTGGAACATTTTTGTATAACTACGTCCAATTAAGCTCGTAAAAGCAAGTATTACTTTTTTGCGCTGTATTTTGTTTATGCGCTGTGTTAATTTATACGTCTACCGCCAAGTAGCTGTGCGTGCACTGCTATGTTCCGTTGTAAGGTAATAGAGAACCAATATAATTACAGTAATACCTCCCATTCCATCTTAGCCCGCAATGGTGACATTGACAACGCATCTGTAGTCTGTTGCAGGTGTCAGTGGACTGTAGTAGCCACTTACCATCGGGTGAACTGTTAGTTGGTTTGTCCCTTTGTTTTTATAAAATAATACATATAGTGAGTTGTATTCTTTTAAAAAAGATGTGGTTTTAGGCTTATAAATCCCAAAAATTACGTAGAACTATCGCTCACTATACATATAACCTCAGAAACATGTTTGACGCGCGTAAAATTCCTTCCAGAAAACGTATTACTTGACTACATCATAAATAATTTAGCCTAGGATGCAATTACAATACCTATAGAAAATACGACTCAGTAGACGAGAGTACTAAACGGTCAATCATACCTTTGTCTGATTAACAGCCATATTGTGAATTATGGTTGTTGAATCAACAGTAGAAGTTTTTAGAAAGGTTGTTATTCGGCTTTGAAAGCAAGTGTGAAAAGCTTTGCATTATTGCTTTATAAATTTCAGCCTATAAATATCCACTGCTGAATATAGTACTCCCTTATGAGTTGTTAACAGAAAGATGCTGCTGTTTATTTTTTTTTAGGATAGGGTGACAAACGAGCATACAGTTCACCTGATGGTAAGTGGTTGCTGTAGCCCATAGACATCTACATCGCAGATGCGTCGTCATCCGTGAGGACTAAGATGGAATGCCTCGGTTCCAGTAAAAAGGGTCTCCGGTTCTATACACTCAGCATACGAAACACAGCAGCGTTAAGCTGCTATTTTACGCTGGTATTCTGTGAGAGCGTGCTCCTTCCCCGGTCGAGCCGACCCATTCGTGCTACAACCATACCACTAATATAGCTGCAGCATGGCTCTACCACGTCCAAAAAGGTTTTAAAATCTTCTGAAAGGTTTAAAAAAAACATACATACTAAAAGAAGAAGGTCGAATCGAGAACTTCCCCTTCTTTTAAATCGTGTAGAAACAGAGACATTTCTCAATATGTCACATACTTTAGGTGGGTCGGTGTAGGAATAGATAGGCGCGGAGGCGCGTTCGTGAGCGATTCGACGCGAGATAGCGCCGCTTTGTTCCCTTGTAAAACTCGAAAATTAACATCATTTGCCAACGCGCGATCGCCCGCTGATAGCTGCACTGTTTCGACGCGAATTGGATTATAATTTTAGCACGATGCACACATATAAACAACTTAATTTAATCAACTATCTTAATTTTGATAATCTATAGAAGAGTTTA